CCAGGAGAAAGATGTTGGTGCAGGAGCTGAAGATTTTCCAGACAGGGGCAATTTTTAACAGCTGTTCCTGGAATTGCTGGGATGTTCTTTCCGAGGCTTGTAACTACCACAATGACTAGGTTTTTGGTTCTCGACCTTTACTGCTAAAACTTCCACTACTTTCATTGAGGGCATTTAGCATTCTGTGCAAACAAGTGACTCTGCAATGTACAGGCCAACCCCCCCCCTCCTTTTGCCTGTTCCCCTCTGTCACATCTGTATAGGTTGTAACCTGGGATCCATATTTCGTTGTCCAAGTGTCCTTTATGTGGGTCCAGTAAAAGGGCCGCGAACATTTCTTTGCCTCTGCAAGCAGTCCAGGGAAATGAAAGGTATTTTGTTGTTTGTTGTTGGCTTTAGACCCTGTATATTTGCAAAGAAGAATGTCATGGGACTGGTGGTATTGTTGGTACTGGGGGGGGGGATTTTTTTCTCCGGCATTAGTATCTGTATCTGTTGGTTTGGAGCGGAGGCCATCGACTGTGGTTCCACTCCAGGAATGACTGGATTTGGTGTACGATTTCTGCCATTTCCTGCCAGTTTTTTTCCTTCCAGCGCTAAAAAACCTCTCCCTCTTGAGTGGCTGTGACTACCCAGGTTTTCCCATGGCCTGGATGTTTTGTATCTTTTTGTACCCTTTAGATGGTGTGCCTGGCAATTTAAGTTATAGCACAGTCTTTCCTGTACTGAAGAGGTACACATTTCAGGGTGAAAAAGCTTACAGGAAGGGAGTTTGCATTTTCCTGTTGTTATATGGGCATGGCATTTTCTAGGGTGGTCATAGTTGCACGTCTCGTCTGTTTTTTCCAGATTTCCCATGTCTGCAGATACCAAGTGTCTGACAAGTTGTGCAACTTGTCAGACACTGCAACATCATGGAATCTTGGTTCAGAGGACATCTACAAGACCTTCTTCACGGCTGCTGCAACTAGCCCATCTCTTTGGGAAGGACCTACTTCCACTGGGGAATCCCGCCTACCAGTGACTTTGCCCTCGTCTGCTGCCCGTCCCTATCCACTGACGCCTATATAACCGCCAGTCTTCTTGCCTTTGCTCCAGATTCTCCTCCACCACGATGCTGTGAACACTAACTCCAAGGCTGAGGGACTGATTACCTCATCTTTTGTATATAGTTCTACTGTCTTCTTATTATGTCCTAGAATCTGTATTGATAAAGCCACTGGATGGCGAAACGTCTACAATAAAGATTTCCAGATGTTGCACATGTGTCTTAACTTTCATAGTTCTAGCTGCCCAGACAACTTATGTTCTGAGTAGGGAAATTAGATCTTAACAAAAAGATCCCAAATGGATAAACAATAAATTAAAACATCTCATTGGTCAAAAGAGAAGCATATATAGGCATATCAAAAGAGGGGATGGGCAGTTAAGAAATCAATATATTCAGTTAAAGAGAGAAATAAGAAAAGGGAATAAGAAAAGCAAAAAGGGATTATGAGGCTAAAGTTGCAAGGGATTCGAAGACTAACCCAAAAGAGTTCTTTCAGGTATACAGAAGTATACAGTGATAAGGAAATGTGTGAAATTTTCAACACTTACTTCCTCTCAGTTTTTATTCAGGAAGATACTAGCGAAATTCCAGAAATAATAAATTATGTAGAACAAGTGATAAACTATGCACGATTGGGGGTAACTAGTGACATGGTCCTCAGACGAATAGCTAAATTTAAACCTAAGAAATCCCCTACCCCCTGATGAAACTGTTTGTAAGGGGTTTTAAAGAATGTAAAGGGGAACTTAACAAACCTTTGGCTAATCTTTTCAACATATCACTACAAACTGGCATAGTGCCAGACAAGTTGAAAATGGCAAATGTAATACCTATTTACAAGGCAGTTGACAGGTCCTTGGGCTTCGAACAAATGACCAAATAAACCTTACCTCCATAGTGGGAATATTTATGGAATCAATAATTGCTGAGGCAATTCGCAGCCATCTTGAAAGGCATAAATTGATTAAATGAATCTCAACACGGGTTTTACAAAAGGGCGTTCCTGCCTACGAATTTGCTAACTTTTTTTCACTAAGGTATTTAAGGAAGGTAGATCATGGTAATGAATATGATATTGTGTATTGGACTTCCCGTAAGGCTTTTGATAGAGTTCCACACCGGAGGCTATTGAGGGAAAATTAAAGCACATGGAATAAGAGAAATTTTTTCCTTGGTAAAAGCATAGTTGACAGAATAGGCATCAGAGAGTTTACATAAATGGGGAAATATCAGAGTGGGGGCACGTCACCAGCGGTGTTTTCCCCAGGGATCAGTGTTGGGCCCTTGTTGCTCACAATTTACTTAAACATACAGATGAAGGAATAAAAGCAACATAAACAAATTTGCTGATGACACTAAATAGGACGTCCTGTTCATTCTAATGAGGACATTAGAGCACTCCAGGAAGATTTGAATAGACTGATGCAGTGGTCTGAGAAGTGGGAGGTGCAGTTTAGTATAGACAAATGCAAAGTTTTAAATGTTGGACAGGAAAATAACTGCCACATATAAACTAAATAATGTAGATCTTAATATTAATGATTGCGAAAAGGCTTTAGGAGTTCTGGTTAGCAGTAATCTGAAAAACCCGGACAACAGTGCATAAGTGTTTCGCAATAAAGAGAACAGAATCCTTGCTTCATATCAAGAAGTATAAATAAAAGAAATCCTCAGGTTGTTCTTCACTCTGTATATCTTGGTTAGACCTCATTTTTGATTTTGCTGCACAGTTTTTGGTCACCGTATTACAGAATGGATATAAATTCTCTGGGAAAAAGAACAGAGGAGATGACAAGTTGATCCCCTGTATCAGAAGTCTTTCCTATGAGGATAGATTGAGGACCTGAATCTGCACTCTAGAAAGGCGTAAAATAGGAGAGATATGAATTGATGGGTATGAATGGAAATCAGGAATAAATAAAGGGGATGTAAATAGCGTGCTAAAGATATCTATTCTAGACAGGACTGGTAGCAATGGTTTAAAGTTGGAAAAATTCAGATTCTGGAAATATATAGGAAAGTACTGGTTTGGTAATAGAATTATAAGTGAGTGGAAGAAACTCCCGAATACCGTCATAGAAGCATAAACGTTATGTCGTTTTGAAGATAGGTTAGGTGTGAGTTGGACCTGACTAGCTTGTGCTAATAGGTCTGATGCTGTGCTCCTTCCTTCAGTGAATGTGACCTGGGCCTGACTAGGTTGGGTCAGTGGCATAAGGTGGTAGGAGAATGCTCTTCTCCAGACTGAGGGACTGACCACCTCAAAACTTTAAGGGTGATGGACTGATTACATCGTCTTCAAGTATCTTCTGCTTCTATCAGCTTTTCTGTACTCGACTGAAGAAGCCTACTGTGTAGGCGAAACGTTTCGAAATAAAGATATCTAACTGTTGCATATGTGTCTTACCTAACAACAAGGTGGTAGGAGACTTGAACCTACCTCGCATGGGCCACGAGGCCTACTGCAGTGTTCTTTCTTACATTCTTATCACAGGATGGGCAGCCAGCAGCACAATTTTACTTTGTAACTTTTTCAAGGACATCACTATTAGCAGTAATTGAGTCTTTGATTGACTTGCATTTACAATATTTTTTACAAGAAGCACACATGCAGCAGGGCAGTCTGTTTGACCAAAATAACTTGCCTAGAATAACTTTTTACACGACTTCATCTGCTTACACTTTTGTGTGTCTGTTAACATTTGTTCATATAATACTACATTCATGTCAGTACCAAGTGAAATTTTCCACTTTCACAATAGCGAAAAGATAAAGTGACGTACCTCACACCTCTCTGCCAGCACCAGGATGATTGTGAAGGTAGTCAACAGGATGCCCACAAGGAGGACACCAACGGATACATAAAATCTGCATCCAGAAAGGAGATAAAAATCGATTAAGAATATCCTGAAAATTGATACAGTTCATGCAGTTTTAGTGTCACAATACGTTCATTCTTTCTGCTCCACTGTAAATGAAAAATGTAATTAATGTATATAATACAAAAAAAAAAGTACAGTTAGAAGCCGGGCCACCACTTGGAAAAGGCCCGGGCCGGGAGAATACCGGCGAATCTTTAAAAAAAAAAAAAAAAAAAAAGTACAGTTAGATCATCCTTCTCCAAAGGATGCCATTAACGAGAATGGCCTTGAAATCTCACACCAGTGTGAACAGTCTTCTTATTAGGTAAATAGATACATGTACTCCAGGAAGATTTGAATAGACTGATGCAGTGGTCGGAGAAGTGGCAGATGCAGTTTAATATAGACAAATGCAAAGTTCTAAATGTTGGACAGGAAAATAACCATGGCACATACAAACTACATAATGTAGATCTTAATATTACGGATTGCGAAAAGATTTAGGAGTTCTGGTTAGCGGTAATCTGAAACCAAGATAACAGTGCATAAGTGTTCGCAATAAAGAGAACAGAATCCTTGGCTTCATATCAAGAAACATAAATAATAGGAGTCCTCAGGTTGTTCTTCAACTCTATATATCCTTGGTTAGGCCTCATTTAGATTATGCTGCACAGTTTTGGTCACCGTATTACAGAATGGATATAAGTGCTCTGGAAAACGTACAAAGGAGGATGACAAAGTTGATCCCATGTATCAGAAATCTTCCCTATGATGATAGACTGAGGGCCCTGAGTCTGCACTCTCTGGGAAGGCGTCGAATTAGGGGGGATATGATTGAGGTGTATAAATGGAAGACAGGAATAAATAAAGGGGATGTAAATAATGTGCTGAAAATATCTAGCCTAGACAGGACTCGTAGCAATGGTTTTAAGTTGGAAAAATTCAGATTCAGGAAGGATATAGGAAAGCACTGGTTTGGTAAGAGAGTTATGGATGAGTGGAACAAACTTCCGAGTATAGTTATAGAGGCTAAAACGTTGTGTAGTTTTAAAAATAGGTTAGAAATATAAACACATATGCAGTATAATGTGATCCTTTATTGACTACGTTTCGCCCACACAGTGGGCTTTTTCAAGTCACAAACAGATCTGTTTGTGACTTGAAAAAGCCCACTGTGTGGGCGAAACGTAGTCAATAAAGGATCACATTATACTGCATATGTGTTTATATTTCCATTTTGTCGGTATTTTATACCATTTATATCCAAAAATAGGTTAGATAAATACAGTCGCCAGTGGTCAGTCGTCACGTGAGGTCACAGACCCTGAGCTGCTTTGGGGATTAGAGTGGACGGTTACAAAGCATGGCTTGCTTCTGCAGTGTTTTAAAAATTGAGGTTGGAGAGTTGAAGGAGGAGGTCTTGCTTCTCCAGGAGGAGATTAGGAGGCTGAAGGTCCACCTCAGTGGGTCTGGGAGAGAGTGTGAGGTGGCTGGAGTTGTGGGGAATGAGGCTTCTAGCAGTGAGGTGCAGTCTGTCTCTCGCTGTGAGGAGGCTGTAGTTGGGGAGGTAGCAACGGCTACCAGCAGTGAGGTGCAGTCCAGCACCTGCTACAAGTGGCGAGTGGTTCACAGTAATGGGAGGCGCATCAGAGTAAGGAAAGTTAGAGTGAAGATCTGAAGGTAGGAAATCGCTTCTCTGTTCTTCAGGATGAATGTACTTCAGTGGCCAGTGAAGGTAAGGGTACTACTGCCCCTGCTAATGGAGGTAAGCGCATTCTTGTGGTTGGTGACTCTCAGGTAAGATATATTGACCGTGCTTTTGTAATAGGAATAAGAAGATGAGAGATAGAGTGTGCTTCCCTGGAGCTGGTGTTGGGGACATTGTCAACAGGCTGGATAATATCATGTCAGGTAATGGGAACAAGCCCATTATCTGTCTCAGTGCTGGTGGAAATGATATGGGAAGGGTAGGAGAGAAGAGCTGCTAGATAAGTACAGGTCAGCTATAGATTTCATTAAGTCTAAGGGAGGGATCCCAATCATATGTAGCATCTTGCCTAGAAGGGAGTAGGAAATGAATGGTTGTCTAGGGCAATTGGTGTAAATTGCTGGCTAGCAGATACTGCAAGGAACTTGCAATCCCATTCATTGACAACTGGAACAACTTTTATGGCAAACATGATATGTATGCAAGGATGGGGTACATCTCTCTGGGGCTGGGGTGGTAGCACTTGCAGACTCGATTGAGAAGGCCATTGGTGAAATGCCTATGATTTTAAACTGATGGAAGATAGAGGTATGGGTGTGTGTGGGAAACAAGCAGGTTGCAACACTTGGGTTGGAAACAGTAAATGTATAAAAGGCATTCAGCATGAAGTTATAAATAAAGAATAGATCAGGTCAGCAAACAAAGGGGGACAGCAGAGGGCAGCAAGGGACTAGCTCCCTTAAGGTTTACTATACTAATTAGCAGGAGTGTAAGAAATAAGATAGATGAGCTAAGATTAATTGCAAGTGCAGGAAACATAGATATTATTGCTATAACAGAGACTCTGGCTCAATCTGAAAGATAGAGAGATGCCCTCTGAATGTCACATACAGGCTATAAATTATTCCACACTGACAGGGTCCAACAGGAAAGGTGTGGAGTAGCGATGTATGTCAGAGACAATTTAAATTGTTGTGTTAGACAAGATATTAAAATTAGAAGCGTCAGCCACTGAATCTGTTTGGTTACAGCTTCTCGAGGGCCGAGAAAAAAAAAATTTTGGGGGGGAAATTTAACAGGGCCCCAAATCTTGATAGGGGGTGCATAAACTTCTATGGGAGGGAAAATTCGTAAGGCATCTACATACAAAAATTGTTGTGCTAATGGGAGATTTCAATTTTAGACAGTTTGGGACGGGAAAAGGTTTAAAAGGGAAAAATTTTAGGTCAGGGGGATTTTCCCCCTTGTACGACCCGGAAATTTTTTTTTAAAAAAACAGTTTTGACGAGCCAACTGGGGGAAAAAACCTCTTTGATTGGTTTTTGGGGCAGTAGGGAAACACAATTAATAATTTTGGGGGTTAAATTGATGAGGCTTGGGGAAAGTGATCAAAAATTTCCCCTCATTTTTTAATATATTGGAATTCCCCAAATAATGGAATAATCCCCGTCCCTGCTTTCTTGGTGATTTCTGGGACTGAAAAATTACTTGGTGGGGGGAACGGGGAATGCCCTGAATGGATCGGGTTTGGGGGTGTTGGTTCCCGATATGATGTTTTTCCAGGGCAAAGTTCTAGCCTGCTCAGTCAAATTATTTTCCCCAAATAGGGAATAAAGATCAAAAAAAAAAATAAATCCTAAATGGATGAAAATTTAAATTAAAAAAATCTGATTGGTAAAAAAGAGAGGCATATATAGGAAAATAAAAAAGAGGAGGGGGGAAATTTAAGAAATCGATATATTCATTTAAAAGGAGAGAAAAAAAAAAGGGGAATTAGAAAAGCAAAAAGAGATTATGGGGTTTCAAAGTTGAAAGAGAATCAAAAGACAAACCCCAAAAAGGATTTTTTTAGGTATCGGAAATTAAGCAGGGAAAAAGATGGGCCCCATCAAAAGTTCCCGGTCAGCTCACTGAAAGGGGATAAGGAAAGGGGTTTTTAAAATTTTTAACACATACCCCCTCTCATTTTTTTACCCCCGGGGAGGTTACCAGCGAATTCCAGAATGATAAAATTATGTAGAAACAGGACGGGGTTAAAAAAACTGTGCACGATTAGGGTCACAAGTAAACCTTGGCCCTTTTAGGCAAAAGAAAAATTTAAAAAACCTAAAAAAATCCCCGGGCCTGTGAACTTATTTGAAAGGGGTTTTAAAGGGAAATGTAAAGGGGAGCTTACCCACCCCTTTTTGGTTTAATCTTTTAAACATTCATAAAAAACTGGCTTTGGTGCCAGAAAAGTGGAAAATGGAAAAAGTGATACCTTTTTTAAAAAACAGGTAAACAGGCCCTTAGCTTCAAAACTATAGACCAATAAGCCAAACCCTCCATAGGGGGAAAAAATTTAGGGAAAACCCAATAATTGCCAAAGGCGTTCGTAGCCACCTTAAAAAGCATAAATTAATCAACTAATTCAGCATGGTTTTACGGGGGGGGGGCTTTCCCTGCCTTACGAATTTATTAACTTTTTTCACTAAGGTATTTGAGGAGGGAGATCCTTGGGAATGAAAATGATATTGGTATATGGACTTCCCTAAGGCTTTTGCAGGGTCCCCATCAGACTTTTTGAGGAAAAATTTAAAACACGGGAAAAGGGGGGAGAAAAATTTTTTTCCCGGATAGAGGCCCTGGGTTTACAAATAAAGGGAGAGAGGGTTTCATTTAAAAGGGGAAAATCCCGAGTGGGGGAAACGTCACGAGCGGTTTTTCCACGGGGTTTAGTGTTGGGGCCCCCCGTGTTAACCCAAACTAATTAAAAAGACATAGGGTGGGGCTAAAGAGCGAACATCGGCCAAATTTGTGCCGGGGTGACACCAAAAAAAGGGGCCCTCGAAAATTCATTCTGACGAGAACATTCGAGCACTCCCGGAAGATTTGAAAAGACTGATGGCAAATGGGTCGGAGGGAAATGGGGATGAGTTTTAAAATTGGGCAAAAAGCAAAGTTTCTAAATGTTGGCAGGACAAAAAAACCATGCCACATTAAAAATAAAAAAAATGTAGATCTTAATATTACGGATTGGGGAAAAAGATTTAGGGTTCTGGTTAGCAGTTAATCTGAAACCCGGAAAAAAAGGGCATAAGTTTTTCGCAATAAACTAATTGGGTTCCTTGGCTTATAAACCCAAAAAGCATAAATAATAGGGGCCCCATTTGATTATGCTGCACAGTTTTTTGGGCACCGTATTACAGAATGGATTTAAATTCCCTGGGAAAAAGTACAAAAGGGGGATGACAAAGTTGAAAACCCTGTACAGAAAAACCCTTTCCCTTTTGGGATAGACTAAGGGCCCTGAAACTGGG